CTTCTGAGAGGCCCCAGAATATATAAGTTTTTCTTTTCCTAGTCAAGCAGTGTTTAAAACTTGTTTTAATTTGTATTTGTGGAAGATGAACCAAGATGTCTTATGTTATGCTGTAATCCTATACTTTATTATTTTTAAATTTTTTGGAGTGCATATCAGTGCCTTATTGATACAGTTTTCCAGGATTTTCTTTAATAAATTAAAAATTCCAAACATCATTGAAGAACCAAGCTGACTGGAACTCATTTGTCATTTGGAGAACTATATTATTTAGAAATCAGTTTAAAAAGGGAAAGAATATATTTAACATGGCAGTAAAGCAGAGAAGCCATCATGTCTTAAAAGAAAGTTGCATAAGAATTTTAAATATGCAGATACTTGAAGAGTTTGTGCTTCTTCATCATGAAATTGATTTCTGATGAAGGGTGAGACAGGCCTGAATTTCTTTAACTCAATAACTTCAACTTTTTAGTTATTAGGAGGTTTTTTAATTCTGAAATATTAAAAGGCTTTTTGGTGCCCAGTCCCCCTTGGTAGCTCAAAATGCTTTGGACTCCTGGAAAATATAAATTTCTAATTTAGGATTTTTGAAGAGTTTACTGAAGTCCTGGGTTTTTGACTGGAGGTTCCTGAAAAGTATATGGGAGAAGGTGACCTTTACAGTTATACATAATTTATTTTGTGGTATTTGCTAGGACTGAATATCAGCTCAAGAGACATAAATTCGTGTGAAACAGCTGCTAAAAGTGGTGCATGCATATAAAGTAATAATTAATGAAGAATAATTTGCTTTACAAAAAATCCTTTTGATGAGCTGGGATGATTTGTATTCTCTAGCCAGCAGCAGTGTCTTTGTCTGAAAAAATTTTGCCATAAGGGAAGTGTTTTGCATTCCTTAGCAAACAATCTCTCTCAGGATTCACTAAGTGCCCTGAAGAACTGTAAGTAATAAGTAATTGCTTGGTACCTGGAGTTTTCTTTGAAACTGGATTTATTTTAAAAACATATCAGGAAAGAATACAGTTGGAATGTTGCATAGTAACATCATAGAACAGATTTAGGTCCTCTTTATCACATTTTACATAAAAATCCCCAGCTTTGAGCTCTGTTGCTTTGGAGCAGCCTACAAAGTGATTTTTATAGAAGCACAGGAGTGGAAAGTGTACTCAGTTCCTTGATTCTCTTCCATGTGTGAGGATGGGAATCGAAAGGAAAGCTTGGTCTTTGTCACCTGTCACTTGGTGTCCCCTCACACACTGGAGCTGTTCTGTCTCTCCCTCCTACAGACTCCTCAGGAACCAAGGCACCTCCTCAGGAGGTTTGAGGTGGTGCCCTCGTTCTCCTGCCAGCCTGCTGGGTATCAGCTCTGCAGAGGAGGATCCTGGTGGGCACCAAGGTGTCCCTGCCCAGCGGTGCTGTGGGGCCAGGAAGGCTCAAGGGACCTGGGATGCATTGGAAAGCATTCCTAAAAGGCCCTGGGAGGCACATCTGGAGTGCTGTGTCCAGTTGTGGGATCATCAGGACAGGAGGCACAGGGAGCTCCTGGAGCAGGGCCAGCGATGGCCGTGGAGATGAGGAAGGGCCTGGAGCATCTCTGTGCCCAGGAGAGGCTGAGGGAGCTGGGGCTGTTCAGCCTCCAGTCCTGGGTGTCCCTGGCTCTGCTCCAGGGCGCCCAGCCATGGCACAGGAGGAACAGGCAGGAACTGATTCCACCTGGACAGGAGGAAGAACTCCTTGGAACAGTTTGTCCAGAGAGGCTGTGGAATTTCCCTCTCTGGAGATGTTCCAGGATCAGCTGGATGCAATTCTGTGTTGTGTGTTCTGGGATGGTTGGACTGAGGCACTGTGGTCCCTTTTCACCTGACCCATCCTGGGATTCCAATTCTGCCAATGCTGATGCACGTTTGGAGCATAAAACCAGTGGATTTGCAGCTCAGGTGTTGTGGAGAGCTGTTGCTCTGCCTTCATCTGTGCAGATTTAGGCACGCTGGTCTTGTTCATAATCACTCTTTGCCACGTTTAGCTCTGCTCTAAACCACTTTAAGTAGGTTTCAGTTGTCCTTTTTGCTGAGTTCCTAAGTCAACATTGTGCCACCAAGCAGCAGAGTGCTGGGAATTTACAGCTGCCACTTAAGGTGTGCAGTGGACTCTAGAAATGGCAAGGTAGCCTTGATTTGTAAGGGTGGTGAAGAGAGACAAAAATTTATTCCATTTATCCATAGAACTGAATGGGAAAGCTACTCCTTAATCTGAATTAAGTGCTCCCTGCACCCTCTTTAGTATTTCTGCTTGGGCCTGGTGTTCAGCCAGGTTTCCATCAGAGTTGTGTGGCTGCTCTGTTTAAATGTGGCAGCTTTGAGCTGCTCATGGTTCACGTTAAAGCTGCAGCCACACAACCATTTTTGTCCCATGTGCTCGTGGTAAATGTAATTGTGTTAAAATTATACATGCAGATAAAGGCCTGAATTGTTTATGCATAGTTTTCTGTTCTGGTAATTGGTTCTCCTTAGGGTTCTCCCTGTTTGTTCTCTAATTAGTCTTGTAAGGGTTGTAAACGTGTTTAGGTGGAATAAAGAGGTTTTATTTTCTGCCCTGTTGCTTCAGGGTTTGGTCAGTTGCTGTTTTCTGGTCACCCCAGCCGTGTGTCAGTTGTATACCTGGGAACAATGTGTGTCATTTCCTAATAAAATCAGTGGTTTGTGTTTTGTGAAGGGTGGGGAGTTGTCATCCTGTTACCAGTTCTTGGGAGCCATCCAGCACTTTGGATCTGTGAGTGCTGTGGGCTTTGGAGAGAATCTCGTTCTCTATCTCTAAATACAGGGACAGGAGTCAAAGTTTCACTTAACCAGCACCCACAACTTGATTAGCTGGGCAGGTTTTTCTCTGTGTTTTTATCCTTTTGCTGCTGCTGCAGGAGCAAGGCAAAGCAGGAGATATTAATATTTAATGAAATTTTCTGGATCTCAACTGTAATCATGTTGCTTTTTAGCTGGAAGTGTCGCTCCTTGAAGTTCCTGCTGGATTTCTTTGCCTGAGAAGCTCAGCCCAGATTTCTCAAGCTGGTAGACTTAATCCTTGAGTTAGTTATATTGCCAGTTGTTTAGGTGTATTTGTAGGGGATCAGACTCTTGGCTTAAAAATATTTTTAAATTAATATACAGAGTAGAAAATTATTGTAGAGGTTAGGTTTTCTAGATGGTCACTGAGCTGCTTCTTAACATACACCTTGAAGATTAAGGACCCTTAAGAAATGGATCCATCAATACTTAGGAATTTTGGGACTTTGTCTTCCAGTATTGGGAAAGGTAAGTCTTTAAAAATGTCCAACAGTTAAAACTGGGGTGAAAATAATGATTTAAAGCTAAAATTCAGAGCTAAATGTAAAGCTAAAATTTTAAAGTGCAGTTTTTATATGAGAGGGTTAAAAATTAAAGAAATGTCAGTGTTTTTCTACATACTGGATCAATATATGGATAAATGAGCAAAATTGCATAAAGAAGAGAAGGTTGTTTCTATTGTGAAGTCAAAGGAGAATGAAGGAACAGAAGGATTTACATCACAATAGTAGATCATCTGTCAGTAATTGAATCATGAACTTGTTTCCATTGTTTTAGTAAACAAATAAATATGTAGGCAAGCCTGTGTTGTCCTCTACTAAATTTGAAGCCAAAATGGGTGTTTTAATGAAATAAAAATCCTTTTTGCTGCTTTATGTTAGGGGGAAAGTTCTCTGGTAGAGATGCATTTCTTTACTTGCAGGCACCTTCCTGATAACCCTTGTGCTCTTGGTCCTGTAGGAATGGAGCTGGAGAGCCAAGTTCTGTGTGGGAATTCTGAGCTTGTAATGCAAAGTTCTGACTTTATTTGGTCCCCACAGTCCACACACAGAATTTCATACAAGGACAGGGGAGTAGTTGATGTAAATTGAATTATTTGTTTAATAATTTGTCAGGTTCTGTGGCCAAATGCCCTTGATTGCAAAGAAAACTGATGCAGCAGCTCTGAATTAGGTTGGTTATGGCATTGTGTGTTTAATGCTTGGAACCAGCATTACAGGTGTTCAGTGTCTAATGAATTCCTAGAGGTCCTTGCTGACTGGGTTCTGACATCTGTTGACTTCTCAGTGCCAGGATTTCCAGTCTCCAGGAGGAGTTTGGTTCGCCTAAATAGTGTGTCTGTCCAAGAGGAAATGTCCTCTGGTGATTGGTATCCAAGAGTTTGAGGGATGGCTTGTTTAAAACTGAATGTCTTTGGAATTGGAAGCCTATATGTGCTTGAGAGTATATTCTGTGTGGACTTGTCACAGTCAGGATTAGCTTTTTATATATATTTTACTCTAGGTATAAATGCAAATTTGCCCTCAGTAGGATCTATTCACACAGTAGCAGCAGTTGTGCTGCTTCAGATGTCTTTGCATGTGTGTTTGCTGATGAAAATTCCAGGAGAATAAGCAACCACTCATTTCTCCAAACACAGGAGAAGGATTCAGCATGATGTAAGAAATGGGCCTGACTTTGCACTCCTGTCTCAGTGCTGTGCTGAATGAAATGGCAATTACTCCTGCTTGTTGATGTTGTAAAGGATGAAATGATGTTTCTGTGCCTTTGGAAAGAGTTCCAGTGATTCTTCCTTTTACTGGTACCCAGTCTGAGAGCCTGGAATGTGACTCACAGAGGTGATGTGCTCTTGAGCTCCTTCCTGATCCCAATTTGGTGGTAAAATCTGTCATATCATCATAAATATGCATCAAACTGGGTCCTTATCTCAGAGTGGGAATTCCTGGAGGCTTTTAGTGCCTTTATCTGGAGGCAGATCTATGGTCAAGCCACTCTCTTCATCCCACACATGCTCTGTCCTGAATGTCAGTGCAGCTGCTGTGAAGTTCATCTTTAACTGATATGATTTATATAGTGTTTGGACTGTTTTTTCTAGACAGCCAGGCAGCTTGTTTTTATAAAAAGCATGATGACATGAACTGTTCTGACATGAATTTTGTGAAATTATTTTTTCACAGCAGCTCCCCCAGTCATACAGAGCTAATGTTTTGCATAATTCCTCCTATAAATTATTGCTTTTGTTGTTTTGCTTCAAAGGGCTTGGTGTTGCCAAAAACTGAAAACATCTTTTCTCTGTGCACATAGAAATGGTCAAATAAACTCTGAGCAAAAACCAAGAGCCTGAGCTTTCCTTTTGAGAGGTTTTATGCTAGGAATGCCTCTGTGCCTTCTGTGCAAGGGCTTCAGCTCCCTGCCTTTGGAAATCTGTCAGTGAAAGCACCAAGGAGCTCCAAGTTGACTGTGAAAGGAGTTGAGGGCTTTTCTGAAATACTTGTATATAAATTTTAGTAAAAGGAGCCACTAGTTAGATTTGTGGCTTTCAAGGATTTTTTTTGTAGTTCTCAATTCACATCCCAACCCATGTAGCTCCTGCAGCAGCCAGACTCCATGGGAAAGCCATAGCAAAAAGGGGGAAGGGAAAAAAAGAAAATGGCATAAATTACAGAAAATAAATGGGATATTTGATACTTCTTGACAGACTCTGAAGCTTGAAAGCAAAATGGAAAAAATCCAGGAAGATGGAGTTTAGGAACATATTTGTGCTTTGCCAATAATTTTCTTGTTACCAAGCATCTCACAAAATATCAAAACCTCCTGTATATTAAGGAACTATGAAGCATAAACAACAAAATAAAAAAATTCTGCAAGACAAGGTACTTATAAATAGTTATTAACAAGACCTGTTTGGGAATACTTAGACAGTATGAAATAGTCTTCCAAAGATGGTTTCTTTTGATTTTGATATTTCTTTCTTCTGTAGTTATAGTTCTTTAAATTTTGCAAAAGCAGACATCAAGTCCATCTCCCTGTCCCTAGTAAGTGTTGACTTTAGTAGATAGAAGATGCTGCTGACTTCAGTAGAAATAAGATGCTGCCTTTAGTAGAGTACTGCTTTTATTCTGATTTTTTGGAGTCTGAAGCTCTCACTACTGAACTCTTGTACTGTCAATGGACATGTTTGGAATGAGCAGAAAAATGTCCAAACCTTTGGGAAATGTAGGTGGAAAGATGAACCAGTTACCCTCAATTATAATAAAATCAGTCTGGTTTTCAGTACATGGTAACTTCAAGTAGGAAGTTCCAGACCTGCCTTGGGAAGGTGAGATTTTGGTACTTATAGTATTGGGTTCATTTTGTAGGAAAAAAGATTCAAAGAAATCTATTTCTTGATTTATTCATTTTATCACTGTTGCAGATCAACAGGAGAATGTTTTTAGGTAAATACTCTGAAAATGAGTATTTAAATAAAAGCATGATGTAGTACAACACTGAACAGCATGAACACATATCAGATCTAATTTCAGTACGCATTAAAAGCCTTGTTTAACAATTTTTTTACACAAAGAAACATTGAACTGAGATACTTCTTCATGCTCTGATGGCTTCCTTAAATAGCTGGGAGCTTTAAGTGTGATTTTTTTTTTTTTCCCTCAGTGAGTATATCCATAGTGACAGATCATGGACCCCAGGATGGGCTTTGCCCTTGGCATGCTGTGGTGAAAAAGTCTTTTCTATCTAATTTTTTAATATTAATAGAAAGTATAAAGCCCAACAATTAGAGACGTTGCAATATAGACTTTAAGGAAATCAGGAAGCCTTGGCTTAATTCTATTTGGGTTTTATTTGATATCTCAGCTGATTTATCCAGCATCCCTCCTGTTGGAGTGGTTGGGATCAGGGCTTGAATGGCTTCATTAGGGTGATGTGTTTCATACCTGCCTGCAGAGAGTGAAAGGAAAACTTCATGGAACTTGGAAAGCCAGGGAGAAATGAAATTGAGATTAGATCTGCCAGAAATGGTATTTTGAATACAGGTGAAGTCATAAGAAAAACATGATAAAGAGGTGATATGTTGAAGAATGAAAGTTATTTTATGACTGTAAGTGGAACACAATTCCTTGAGCTGTGAGTGTGCAAAGGGGTGTTTGCTTCCGTGGGGTCCCTGAGGGACAGCCTGGCACATCCCACCCTGGAGCCCCTCCTGCCTCAGGCTCTTGTGTCTGGAGCTTTACCTCAAGGCAGAGCAGACACAGGGTCTTGGGGATATATGATGGAAACAATAAATAATACATATCCTGGTCCTTTCTCTGCTTTCCAGGGAATATTGTGTGTGCATCCTGTGCATGACAGGTGCAGTGTTCCCTGCCTTGTAAACACACCCTGCTGGATGCACCGTGCTCTGGTGTGCTGGAAATCACAAGGAGCACTTGTCAACTCAAGAGCAGAATCCCTGCAACATCCTTATGTTAATTTTTTGCTTTCAGCTTGTTGGAGCTATATCTGTAATACCAAAAAAAATAGAGCATTACGAAAGTAAGTCTTGATAAAGCTCAAATTTTCTCAGCTTATAAATTTTAAGCAGACTATTAGCTAGTGGAATCTACTTAGTGTTTTCCTGAACACTTTGCTCTCTAATATTATGTATTTAAAACATTTTCTTGTTGCTCTTATGTTCTGAAAAGTCTACTATGTTACATCACAGTTGCTTAAAAAAAAGCAGTTGGAGATGGGAGGTTAAAAGGTGGGGGTGTAACTGCTTCCCTGGAAAGTGTGCAATTTGAATTAACAAATTAGATCACATAGTGTAAAATCGGGGAAAAAATAGAGCTGAGCTGGTGGAATGCTTGAAAAAAAAAATATTCAAAACTCTTTTGCAAACTGAGGATAAAAAGAAACCCAAAGTTCTTAGTTGTAGGCCAACCTTGTTAGCTTGTGAAATGTTCCAGCAGAGGCATTCTAGGAAAAGATAAATTTATGTGCAGTCACTGCAACACTGAGCATGTTAAATATTGGCCCTCAGACTTGCTCAGAGCTCTACAGGAGGATGCTTTGAAAGTGTTGGTGCCTTCCTTTATGACATTTATAATTGGAAATGGCAACTTCTCAGTGAGCCTTCTAACTCTTTCATTTTTTCAGTCCCTTAACTATGCAAAGAGATTTGTAGAGTAAGGGGGAATTTTGAGGAAAATAGAATCCCAGAACTTGAAGGAATTCACTCCAACTTGGCCTGGCATTATTTTTAGTTCTTGCATAATAATAAATTATTCTTTAGTATAAGTGTCTCCTGTGAGGAGCTGCAGCAAGAGTGGAACTGTGGGTGTTTTTCCTCATGGCTTTTGTGTGGGGCTGAGCCTTGGGACTGCACAACAGGGAAATGTCTTTCAGATTCCTGACTGTGTTGGTCAGCTGGAACTCTTGGATTTCTGCCAGCCTGTGTAAGGACATGGGTTTGAAGTAAAGCTGAGCTGGTCAAGTGTGGTGATTCATTCTGGCTCTGAAATGGCCACTGTAAGGGTTTAATTAACATTGTGATGGGTAGAATTGGTCAGAGGCTGAAGTCCTTTAGTCCTTGTTCAGTCTTAGGTGGGTGATGGGTGCTGAGCATTAGAAAGAGCTTTTCTTTTGTTGGTGCCCTAACAGCAACAGTTGCTCCTCATTTAAGCTTCCTGTGGCCTTGGCTTTAAAAGCTGTGGAGTGGCAGAGAACCTTGAGTGGGTTCTGTGCAGTGGGTGGGGTTAGCCAAGATTCCCAGTCTGCCTGGGGAGCCAAGGTCCCTGTAGGGGCAGACAGATTCCAGGGAGAAAACACAATGGGCCTTTTGGCTGCTGCTGGCTTCCTGGGATGTTTACTGCTCTGGGAGACAGGACACAAGCTTAACTGGAAATTCCCTTTGTCTCCTGCTTTTCTGTAGGTCACTGTGGACATAAAAGCTTTGTTTGAGTTACTGGAATGGCTGAATTTGGGTTTACTTTTCACTCACTTCTTTACTTTGGAACAAATGACTGCAGTGTTGCTGAGATTTTTCTGATAAGATCTCTGAAAGATGCCAAAAGTGACTTGCCTAACATGGCCTAAACAAAGAGGTATGCTGATAAGTTTTAATAAAAATATACTTATGATCTCATGTTGAAATGATTAAATTCTCCTTGAAGGTTACCAAGATGATTAACAGGAAAATGCACAACAGATCTTGGCATTGTATATGACAAAACCAGAACAACTCCAGGCTTGGTTTCTATCATTGTGGGATAATTCCTCCCCTTCAAAGTAATAGGTGAGGACATTTAACATAGATCAGATACAATATCAGAGTGGATTTGTGGTACATAGAGCCAAATTCTCCCCTGATGCAAACTGGCCATGATCACTTCTACATTAAAAAAGCCTTGCCAATACCATACAGAATGTGATGATTAATGCATAAGTCACTCTTCTCAAGTTTATAAATAGAAATTCACCACCAAAATGTGTATTTGAGGCTTACTCAGGACTGTGTCCCACAATATCTGTAAAATCTCAGATCCTGCTAATCTGCCCTTGCTGTTGACATCCTTTCCAATATACCTCGAGGAAAAGCTCATTGTGCATTCCCAAGGGAAACGCTGCCCCTGAGTGCAGCAAGGAAGGAAGAAATATAAACAAATTAACAACATTCATCTGACAGCTGTGTTTAAAAACAGAGTCAAACACCAGTTTTGATTAACTACCTTTCTCTCCTTCCTCAAACACTTCCAGACCTTGTGTTGACTCCCCGATGGGCCATTCCTGCAGTTGGGATGCACGGAGCAGCCAGGCTCCCACACAGCTCCAGGCTGCTGCTCTATTCTGGGCCTCCATGCCCACGCCTCAGCAGGTCCCTTTATTTCCAGCCACCCACTGCTTGGTCTGCATCCTTCAATCCTGCTGCTTCTGCTTCCTTTCATCCTCTGGAGTAACCCCTCACTTGGCTTGGATATGCTGGGCTCTGGTGGGGCCATCCTAATAATGGGGTTAAAATTCCCCTCCCTTGCATTTAGCCTGGTTCTCAAATCCCAGTATTCCCAACACACTTCTTTCCAGGGTTTTTATTCTTCCTGCCACTTTTTCACAACAATTTTCACAACAAGAAACCCTGTCAATTTTCTTTACAGTTACCCATTTTCTTAGCAGGAGGAGCAGAGGTGTATGGACAATAGGAATGACTCTGCAGTAAGCTGAGGAGGGAAAGGTGGGAGGTGTCTTTATGCAGAGGAATTCTGGGTTTATAAAAACAAATGTTCCTGGCCCTAAGGATTGCAGAGCAAAGCTTGAAAACCGTGGCTGAAGTTATTTCAAAAATCTCAGAAGCCAGACAGTCATGAGAGAGAGAATTCCACTTTTTTTTCTGCAAATACTGAAATATCAGGATTTATGAAAATTGAACAGTGCTGTTGCAGAAGGGAAAAAGAAATTGGAGGGATTTTATAAATATTTGCAAGCCTGGTATGTGCTGTCATATGATCTTCAAAAAGTAACATTCTCTGCAGTATTTATCCTAAACAAAGGGAAATAAAGTGTAAACAAGCCAGTGCCATTATTTTCCTCTTCCTTTAAATAAAAGCACAGGTTTCTTCTGTTTCACTTAAGTGACACTGGGCTTGAGGTGAAGAGAGAGGAAAATATTCTTAACCTGTGCCTAGTTCCTTGTGTATTAATGCTGGAGGGCATTTCCAGGTCCTCTCCTAACACCACAGACTGTAAATTTCTCAAGTATCAGGATAAAAGTTTGTCTTTTTGCTTAAAAGAAAGGAACTATTGCAGGAGTAGTTTTCATATTGTAAAGAAATACTTCAGAGAATAATGCCAAGCAAACTGTTTATTTTGGAGAGTTCTGTTTTGTAGCTGAGATTGGAGTTAAAAAATAAATATTGTTCAGGAAATCAGAAAGTTACTCTATTTTAGTATTTCAAGCACAGTGCATTTTAGGGCTGTGCCAATGTTAGTAATTATTTTTATTAATGATGATGCTTAGTGCTGTGCTTTAGTTGACAAGATGGTGTTTGGTCAAAGGTTGGAATCTGTCTGAGAGGTCTTTTCCAACATTGGATTCTGTGATTATCCTGTGTTACAGAGATGTAACTTCTTGAACAACCTTTCCAGGGATCTCTCCAGATACCTGGCCAGGCTCCATTCTGCCAAGTTAACAGGTAGGAGTCTTTTCCTGCTTGGAATGCTGTGCCAGCTAGGCTGTTTCCACAAGGCTATGAACTGAGATGGTGAAAATCCAGCTCTTTGGATGTTTTTTCCAAGAACATGCGCAGTGGGAAGGGCTGTGTTGCCTGGGTGTCAAGGCAGTGTCTGTTAGCAAGGTTTGTTTTAGTTAATGGAAGGAGAGAAGGGAAGGAGTGATAGATCAAATGGTTCTAAGCTCCTAGGAGTATCCCCCATGAACATTGGGAAGCTGTGTAGTTTGGTTAGGAAGCTGTTTCAGGAGCATTGGCTTCTCCCCTGGACAGGGAGGTTGTGTAACTCAGAAATGCATGGTGAGCTCAGTGCGATCAGAGCATGGCCAAGAGTGACTTCATGGCCAGGCAGTGCTTGGGCTGGGGAGGAGCTGTGTGCAAAGGGAATGCAGAGACAGGACGAGGGGAAATGGCTTCAAACTGACAGAGGGCAGGGTTGGGTGGGATATGGGTTAGAAATCCTTCTCTGTGAGGGGGGGAGGCCCTGGCACAGGGTGCCCAGAGAAGCTGTGGCAGCCCCATCCCTGGCAGTGTGCAAGGCCAGGTTGGATGGGGCTTGGAGCAACCTGGGATTATGGAAGGTGTCCCTGCCCATGGCAGGGGGTGGCACTGGGTGGGTTTTAAGGTCCCTCCCAACCCAAACCATTCCATGGAGTTAAACATGGTCAGAAATGGCTATTTAGAGGTTAGCTCTTGTTCTGGATTCATTGGAGCAGTCCCTTTGGGAGTGAATCCTTTAAAACAAGAGTAACCTGTGTGGTGTCTTCTCAGCAATGTCCTCGTTTGCTTCAGATGAGTGAGGGGGAGGGAGTCTTTGCACTCCTGAGAAGTGGGAAGGAGCAGTGAATTTTAACATGGATGCTATAAATGACAAGCTAAGATTCCAAATGCAAGTAATTGTAGCTCATGTCTACACACATGAAGAGATCTGTGGTGAATGGGAATTGAACAGGCTGAGGAGGTGAGTTCAGAACCTTTTCTTCACTGTTGAAAGAAATAAATACCCTGGTAGTGATGAGATTGGAGATGACATTTAACTTCTAGGAAATACTGATTTTCTGCTTTATTAGCTTGTGAAAAATGTGCTTCTTCACAGTGTTGGTGACTGGGCTGTCACTTGAGCAGAGAGGGGGAGATGGCTGAGAAAAGTCCCCTCAATGCAGAGCTGAGCCCCAAAGTCATGCAATTCCCAGATATTGCCTCCTCCCCTCCCTGCTGCATTAAATAAGAAATAGCACACACATCCTGTAAAGAGTTTCCATGGAGCTGGGTTGCTCTAACTGGATTTTCGTAATTTGTGCTTCATCCTTATTCATGTAGAAGGAGGATTTGTGGAGCTGAGAGTGGATTGTTTACTCTGGTCAGAGCTTGTAGGTATTTCTTCACCCAGCAGAACTTGGGCGTTGGAAGCATGCAGGGATGAATTTTTGTTGTGAAGGCTGGCCAAGGAATATGTTCCTTTTGGATTTTTCCAGGATAAGCTCACCTTCAAAATGGAAAGACAAAAGGAAATAGTGAACAAATTATCACGTTACTTAAAAAGCAATTTCTACTATTTTCAGGAGATGAATTCATACATGTTCTTGTCACTCAAGGGCATTCAATTGTTGGAGACTTTCCTGGTAAATAAACAAGAACCATTTTCAGTTTTTTTTTCTTAATGGTTTGTCCTTAGGCTTGTTTCCCTCTGTTGAAATATCCCCTCTGTCTTGAGGCTTCCAGCAGAACTGAGAAGTTGTGTTCTCCTGTTTTACTCCTGGACTCTTTATTCCTATGATATATTCCTTACTGGAAAGGCTTCATCTAAGACAGGAAGGGAGGTTGTTCATAACATGCAGCAAAGAACAAGAGGTGTGAGGAAGTGGAAGCATCTGACAGGTATTTTAATTTCTGTATGCTAAAATAAAGCAAGTCACACGTGGAACATGAGATTCCTGGTAGCTGTTTTGTAGGAAGTTTTTCCATACAGAGTCTCTGTTTTGTTGTTCAAGTCACATTGAGTGCAAGTTTAGAACTGTCTGTGCCAGTGATGAGACCCATCTGTGAGAGACTGACATGATTCATGGGAAAATTGTCTCTGGTAACTGGTGAAGCCCCTTGAGATGTTTTGCAGTGTCTTCTGGTGTCAAGAGCTGCTTTTTAAAAAATGTTGCATGTAGGGTCTCTAGCAAAGTGTTTTTGTATCTCAGATGTGATATACTGATTTACTGGCTCGAGGTAAGTAAATTTCTGTCCATGATTCTCATGATAAAGACATCAAAATTAGGTCTCAGTGCTAGAATATTGCAGTTTACAATGCTTAGTGGGATTCTGCAATGGATTAATTAGCATAACTCTTAATAAGGGAACTATTGTTTTCAAATTAGAGTAAGGTGAATATTTCTTTTTATTAGCAATCAGTTAAGTATCTATACTAACTTCTAAAAAATCATTTGTGTGCAAGTATATTTCTCCTTCAATATGGTACAATAAAATACTTTTCTACTTTTGGGAGTTTAGCACAACCAAAACTATTGACCAAGTAAGCGTTTTTTTGTAAATGAACCTCTGTGTAAGCACTCACCTGCTGCATTTCCAGGGTTTGGGTATCCAGTTATCCAGTATAACATTCAGTTCAATATTTATTGCAAATCAGTATTGCTCTGATATAATTGATGCCTTTTTGCTGGTTTTGAATTCATTCCTTTCCAGTTCCCTTGTTTTTAGTTACCAGCAAGGAGCAAAGTGAGTGTTGGGATTCAGTTATCTTTTCAGATATCTTTTCAGTTATCAGTAGTTTGTAGGTCCTTGCTAAAAGCACAGTATTGACTCTGCAAAGGTAATTATAGGAATACTATTAATAGTGTTTAGAAGGGATCATTGCTGTAAATCTGTTTTAGCCTTTTTATCAGCTGTGGTTTTATGTAATATTCTGTAAATCCCCTGGAAACACTGATACCTTTAAGGAGTTTGGTTTGCTTTTAAAGGGAAAGGGAGGGGAAACAGAGAAGAACAGATTTGGGATAATTTCCTTATTGAAAGATGCTTTTTATTGCTCTTAAAAAAGCAAAAGTGAGTGAGGGCATGACAGAGAATAACCCTCACATGTGCAGTGCCTTATCTGCCAACTCTCTCTTATTTTTCCTGCAGGAAATCCTGGCTGAGCAAAGTTGGAAGCCCAAGTTCCCGCATCGATAAAACAAATTTTTCCAATGAAAAGGAGATCTCCAAGCTTGACTTCTCGGATTTCAACACTAGATACTAACAGGAGGGCACCTCACTAAGCACAAAACTGACATTTCTGCTGCATGATATTTTCTGTGCCTCCATCAAATGTTACAAGAGCATTGGGATGCTTTTCTGTACTAGGGATAAACATAAATGCTCCCTGTTCCCACCAAGTAGGAATTCCTGTTGCTGTGTTAGACATCTTGCACCATGAATGTCAACATTTAGTGTCTAAAATGCCAATATCTGATTTATTGCAGCTTTGAAAGACAGATAAAAGCTTAGAAGTGCTGGTGATTATTTGTGCGCAATGAGACTTGTTACATACAACCAGATGGTACCTAATCTTTACACTGTGAGTCATATTTAGATGAAAAATAATAAATTTATGTTCTACTGTTTGTAATCTCACCAAAAATACATACTTACAGAACTGGAACACTCGAGAGTTCTCTGATATAAGCCTGTTATAGACCAGGCTCTATGTGACAATAAGGTTATAGTGGTAAATTAAAATAAATATGTTGTTTCAAACTAGGATTATCTAACCAGCTCTGGTTTAAAATTCTCCATAATAATTCAGATAAATCTTGTTCCAAGGTGATGAAATGTGTGTTTTTTCCCTTGTCTATCTGTAGCTTGCATCCATGCTGATTATAAAGGATGTTTTAATCTCTTTGCTTTTTTAATGTTCTTACTAAAATTGAAGATTTAAGTGATTTTCCATATGGGTGTGTGTTTGCTCCTGAGTTAAGACTGTGTGGTGGAACCTGAAGCCACATCCATCATCTGAAGTCCATGGAAGTTCTAATAAATCCTGGATAAGTCTGATCCATTGTGGGTCCAGTTCCTGTATCCAGCGCTGTCTCCACAGGCACCCTGGAGTTAGCCAGGACTGGATCAGACCTGGATCCTCACTCCTGCAGTGTTTGTGGGTCAGGATTAGAACCTTCAGGGAGATTTCATGAGGATCCTGAAGCTGGTGTTCCACTGGCTGCCCTGTCCCCCTTCCTGGGCAAGTGGTGTCAGTTTGGGCAGCTGCACCAAATCTGCAGCTCATGGATTGAATTTCAGGAAGGACATTTCCTAACTTAAGCACTGCACTTCTCCATCAGTGCATGTGTACTTAGAAAGGTATTTCTGCTCGCCACTAGGTTGATTTTTCTTTGGACCTTTGTGTTCAGCAGTAAAATCTCCTTTCTAGAATTTGCAGGAGCTGCTTATGAATTGTTCTGTGATTATACACAGGCCCCCATTGTTGAAGTGGTGGTCAATGGCCCTTGTTCAGCTGATGGTAAATGGCAGAGTTCAAGTGTAGCAGGAGCTCAATAACTGTTCCATCCTAGTGGAAAACTGCATCCTGCCTAACAAAGTCGTTTACATTTTCCTTGGAGCTACCTGGCAGAAAATGCCCCCTTAGTCAAAGATGTTCCTGCCAAGTGCTTTGCTCATCTTTTGAGGAACAAGGAGAGAGGAAGGCAAAAACAAAGGGGTCATTGGATACAGAGGAAGAGCAGCCAAAACTTGTTTTAATGTGTTCCAGGGGTGGAGCTGGGTGCTCACAAGCACCTGGGGATTTTACCCCAACTCCCCTAGAAAGGCAAGGCTTGAGGAAGGGAAGCAGCCATTTAAAGTGCTCATTTAACTTTTTTGGGAGGAATTGTGTAGAGAGAGCATTTCTCTGTGCTGTGTTCCTGAAACTAATGGAGCCTTGGCTGGCACTGTGGGTATTAATCTTCTCGTTTTATTTAATCCTCAGATTCTGGTAAGGTATCCTGAGTCCAAAGCCATCCCATTTGTGGAAGTGCAGTGTGTGCAGAACAGCAGAGCAGTGTCTCTAGATTTAATGAGAACATCATTGGTTTTGAGGAGCCAAAGAATCCCAATGGTAAGATAGAAAAAACAAAGCAAGAACAGTTGGATAACTAGACATCAAAACTGAGCTGAGGCATACTTCCTTTTCTACTCCATGCTAATATCACTCAGTTATAACCATAGATACCCCTGAATTTTATTTTTTCAAAATGCAATGCAGCAAGACTGTATGATGTGTAGGCCAGCTTCATTCTTGCTGTAAGTGGAAATACTTTCCACTAAATAGTTTCTATTTAAATAGAAGCAATTTCTGTCTATAGTTTCTATTCTGTTCTCCTGATAGCTTCTATCTAAAAAGGGTTAAGACTTGGAAATAAATAGTGGGAACAGACTTCCACAAGTTGTTTGGGTGTTTTGGACTATGCTGACTTTCTTGAGGGGAGAATGTTTTGCCTGACTTGTGTTCTACTCGAATTTAGGAAAATTCACCTCATTAAGCTTAAAGGCCAGACATGTTAATTAAAATCAGAGTTTAACTCCTAAATGACAGGCATTTCAGAAATGTATGGGTTTGTTTTTATTCAATTAAAGAATAAAAAAATAGAACCTTGCCAAGACCACGAGCAGGAGAGCTTTGTGCCTCATCAGGAGTGATGTAACCTTGCAGGACAGGGTTGTTCTGCTGGACCTCCTCGTTCTTGGTTTCTGAGTGGAGAAAAGCGTGGTGGCATCTCCTGCCATACTTTCTCTTAGGTGACACCAATCTGTCACTTCTTATTTGCTTGATGTCCTCTGGAGCTGCCTTGCTTGGCTTGCTTTCTTCTTAGAAAACTGGGCATGTTTGCTGCTGGAATCCTCTTACTAGACAGAGTGAACTGGATTAGTCACTGGAGCTTCCTGATTAATGCATGGCTCTGTGCTGCTGCAAGCACTCTGCTCTGGAGGGAATGCTGCAGTGAGGGGTGAGGGCAAACACTGCTCTCTGCCATCATTTATTTTTTAGAGTCTGTTTATACAAAAGCAATCCTGTAAATTGAGATTTCTATAGTACTGTTCTTTCTTAAAGGCTCCTCACAGTCTGTTGTCTAGAGGGTAGAAGTATTAGGATTAAAGTGAGGTTATTTTTGCCTCAAAAAACACTACAGGGACTTAATATAACTAAACTTGCCCCAACTCATTTGATATTAATACTGGCATAATTGAATAAATAATCCTGACATGGAAGATCAAAGGAGGAACAACCTCACTTTTGGTTAAGAGGGCTGCAGGAGTGGGTTGGAAGGTTTTACCAATCAAAATTCCTGAATGGTTTGAGTAATGAGGAGGAGACCAGTTGTCTTCCATAGTTAGATGATGTTACTATAGAACTTAATATACATAAGTGCAAATCTAAATATTTAAAAGTAGTTTCTGATGAATAACACTGTAAATCAGTTGTGAAATTGTCTTTAACCCTGAAGTGAAGAATTATACTTTGAACAGCATTAATGGGGGAGTAGGTGAAGTTTTTGGCTCAAAATCCAACAAGCATCTCTGTCTCTGATGAAAGGCACTGTGGGCTCTCCAATAATAATAATAATAATAATAATAAAAATAATATTTCATTGGTGTTAGGAGTTAACACCTGTGATTCCTGCAGTTTGGAAATTGGAAAGTTTTATAACTTTTTTTAAATTTCTTCCTCTTCCTGCATTTGTGTTGTTCTAAAAGTGAGCAATGAGCTCTAAGCCATGTTTTTGTTTCATAGACTATTGATCAGCACCAAGAAGCAAATTTTGTCTATTGTAACCATGGTGTGTGTTCCATAAAAAATGGGGCAGTGCCCTTGTGGATTTTTGTGAGCAATTATTTTCTGGGTCTGACAGGCTGAATTAGAGGAATACCCAGCATCCCAGGGTTTCTCCAGTAGCTGGAAGGTGACCTGGCATTCCCTTGGATTTGGCAGGGAGGTAACAGTTCTGTGCTGCAGGCACTGACTTAGGTTCTGCTGGAATGCTGCCATGGACTTTAGTGGGAACAGTAATTGGTCATGCAACCAAGGAAATGCATTATTAATGGGACAGTGTTTGAGCAGGGGGCATAAGATAAAGACTAAGCTACTTTTTGGTGCTGGTTTTATTTTTTTCTAGTTACAGAGGAATCACTGTGGCTTCAGGGACATTAGAAAAGCCAGAACTTTCTTGCATGGAGTTCAGCACTAAAAACAATGCCACATACTCGCTATCTCAAGCAGGCCAGTAATTCCCAATTTGTAGTTACAGAGTTGTTCTGCAAAGGATGGGAGCAGAGTGTGGATACATGCAACTCTTCAAAACCTTATATAATAATAAAATTTAAAATAAAATTCAAATGCTGGCATAGAGGTGGTAAACAGAACAGGAAGAGAGCAGGGACAGGAGTTTTAAGAAGATCAATATGGAGAAATTTAACTGCAGTTTTTTATTGGGAGCTGCAGCCAGTGGCACCACTGGAAATGAGTTCTGTGTGAGCAGCATAGAGAACAGGGGTGGCTGGGGAAGAGGGGCTTGGCAGAATGGGGTCTGAAAAAGTGTTTAAAAGCAAAAGCTCAGGAGATGTTTGGAGCATGAGAAGAGAGGCCAATGTTTCATCAGCTGATAAGGGAATGCTCAGTTTAGATGGCAGCACCTGGGTGCTCTGGGCAGGTCACAGCAGGGGTTTGAGACTCACTGGGAGTCTTGTTCAGCTGTTGGTGATGTTTTGTGCTTTCTCCCTGTTTAAAACCAGCCAGCCTCAAACTTTTCTTAAACATGCACTCCTGAACTCTACAACTGTTGTACTGCTGTGAGTAGTTCAGCTCACTTGGGAGAGAAATCTCAGTACCAGGTAGGAAAACAACCCTGAATTGTGTGAGGGGCTCTAACAGTAACAACTCTTCCCAGAGAGATGTTACTGCCTGCTGTCAGGAAACAGGCAGACAAAAAAATTTGCAGACCAAGTTAAAACTCATTAGTGACCCACAATATAACTCGGGGAGAAAAAAAAAAAACTGTGCAGTTATCTAAGTTTGCTGACACTTTGGAAACAAAATGATGACTAAATAGTAATGTGTGCTCCAAAGAATGAGTGATATACCAAGATGAATAGGATTTAGGCACTATTTATCACAGTTAAGCCATAGCCTGAATACCATAATGCTGATTCCTTAAATTCATTATGCAGCCAGTATAATCTAGCAGGCTGCAATGTGTCTGTGAGAAGGAAGAAACTATTTCCATTGTTTTAAAGTGAACTGTAGGCACAGAGTGATTGACAAGATTGTGCTTTATTTCTAAGATACCACACCAATGTTTGCAACAACACTTGTGTGAAGCAAAGTGTTAAACCCACTGAATTCTTACATTTTGCTGTTCAAAGTAGGAATCATGGTGTATTTATCTGATGGATACAGGGGGATGGCATTCCATACATGTAAGAAGTTCTGGTTGGACATCATCCCTGTTTAGAGCTGGCAGTGTGTGGGTGCTTCCAGCTTCTATTTATGTGACTGAGATTTGTCTTGTGGAATAAATAATTAATTTTTCTGGTGTTCGTACCCCTGAGGGTCTCAAGAGCAGCCTCACAGCTCTGCATGCATTTATTTGTAGAAATTATCATGTGAAATAACAGCTTTGTTCTGATCCAGCCATAAAATTTACTCTTTGGGTGGTAGGAAATGTGGCATTCCTGAGCTACCTTCCAGTGGGAATTCTGTAATATTTTGGGAAGAAAGGAAGAGGAAGGGACAGAAATAGCCACAACTTCAGAAATTTTTGGCTTAGTCAAGGTATGTTTAAAACTCCCCCAATGTTCTGAATGAAATAAGTGAATTGTTCTGGAGGTACTGAGATAACAGTTGCTGGTTGCTTTTTTTGAATTTTCAGATAGCATTCAGGAAGTGTAAGAAATGAAAGCACACAGGAAAGCTGAGAGATTTATTTTGTTTAATGTCCTTTTTTTTTTTTTTCCTCTTTTTTTAAAGCCAGGGCCAGGACTTATTTGCATTTTTTAAAACCTGT